TTCCTACCTCTCCCAGATGAAAGACACATAATGAAGCTGGGACATAACAAAATGCCAATAAAACACCATAATCTAAAGTCTGTATTGTTCAGCATTTTATTACGTAATCAAAGCACTCTTCTTCGGCTCACTATTGAATGGCCAGGAAATGATGTTGAACCAATTGAAAAACCCAGTCATAAAGTTCATCAATAGTATTTTCATCAGTGGGGCTTCTGATGTAGGGGTTTATTGACTTGGAGGATTGGGGCCGACTTAAAGAACAAACAGAAAGAAAACATTTCAAAACAACATATCCTGGAAATAGAGTAGCTTTTAAGATGAGAGTAAACATGTGCTTTCTCACCCTTACATTTCTTATTTGCTGGAATAGGAATGTATCTACAAAGCAGGTTTGTGGCAATTTCCTGATGAGCATGACTAATAATAATAGCCTACATTTGACAGCATTTGATGATTCACGAAGTAGTATAGCAGTGCTTCTCAAACTTTAGTGTGCATATAAATTATCTGGAGATCTTGTTAAAAGGAGGGTACTGATTCAGTGGGTCTAGGGTGGGGCCTGAATTCACCTTTCTAATAAATTTACAGGTGGTGCTAATATTGCTGCTGGTCCATAAACCATATTTTGAGTAGTAGGTTCTTACCATGATCTCTCTCAAGATTCACAGAAATTCTGTGACGTAGATAGAGCAGATATAGTTTCCCCTTCCCCATCAGGTTATTGGCTCTATGGGGAAAAGGATTTGAGTGTGTTTTGCTTATTGCTATATCCCAAGTACCTGTAATAGTAAGCAGTCAATACATTTTTGTTGGATGAATGAATGACTGCATCTTAATTTTATAGAGGAATTGAAATAATGCTTTAACCAAAGTCACAGTCTAATAGTGGCAAAGCTGTCATTTGACCTAAGAAACTACTTAAATCAGAAAGCTCAGTACCAAATGAATCTTTTTTTTTTTAATAATTTTTTTTTAAAGATTTTTATTGGGGAATTGGGGGTGGGGGGTACAGCACTGGGGAATTGGGGAAGGGGAACAGACAAGTTGCTGTCCTTTTGTTCTTCAGTCTAGTTGTGGAGGATGTCCTTCACATGTTGGTATTATCATTGCACTCTTCCTGGGTGAGGCAGATTGGTTGCCAACCACTGGATGACTGCTCACGGCAGCTCTTGGCAGCTCACGTAGGCTGCCGACCACTCACGGTAGCTTTTTTTCACGGTAGCCGACTGCAGCTCCACTGCAGCCTATGCCGTTACCGGTGACTCACACCAGCCCAGCTCCAGGTTGAGCTGTTGTTCACCATCTTAGCTGTAGAGGGTGCAGTGTCACTGGCCCTAATGTGGGATCTGAACCGGGGCCCTGCTGCTCAGAGCTGGCGTCCCAAGCCAAATCTTAACCAATGTGCCACTCGGCTGGCCCCAAATGAATCTTCTTTAGTCTTGACTTTTTCTTTCTTTTTCCCCTTCCTTCCTTCCTTCCTTCCTTCCTTCCTTCCTTCCTTTACTTCTTTTTTGTTTTGTAAAGGTAAATATTTTTGAAGGGACCTTTTAAATTGAAGTATAACATAGAAAAATGGCCAAATAATAAGTGTACAATTGATTAATTTATACAGAGGGAACACATAGAACCACCTTTCAGGTCAAGAAATTACCAGCTCCCCAGAAACCTCTTTCGTAGGCCCCCCAGGCATTATTCTCTCTTTTAGAGGTAGATGCTGTTATGACTTCTATTACTATAGAGTAGTTTTAAACTTGATAGAAATAGAATTTTATAATATGTACTCTTTAGTGTATGCCTTCTTTCACTCAATATTGTATTTGTGTTCTTCAATATAGCACTAACTTGCTCATTTTCATTTCATTTCATTTTATTATTTTTTGACATTTAAAAATTATTATTAGTTTCAGGTGTACAAAACAGTACAATAGTTATCCTTTTCACCCCTCACAAAGTGACAACATCCCTCCCCTATCTACTGCACCCCCACCCCCGATATCATACATATCTATTACAATTCCATTGATTCCATTCCCACACTCTATTCCACATCCCATGACTATATATATATTAAATTATAGTTGACATACAATATTATTCAACATCAGTTCAGATATACAGTGTGGTGGTCAGGCCTCTACACTGTCCATGAAGTGATCTCCCTAACAAGACATGAGTCCATCTGGCCCCCTAAAAAATATTTACAACATTATTGATTATATTTCCCAAACTGTCTTTTCTTTCCCTGTGGCAATATTGTAGTTACCAATTTATGTTGTCTCGTCCCTTCCCCTTCTCCTTCATCCCCACCCCCTCCCAACTAGCAATCATCAGTTTTTCCTCTGTGTCTCTGAGACTATTTCTGTTTACATTACTCGTTTATTCAATTCTTTATATTCCACATATAAGTGAGATCATATGGTATTTGTCTTTCTCTGACTGACTTATTTCACTTAGCATAATGTTGTCTAGTTCCATCCATATCGTTGCAAATGGGACGATTTCCTTCTTCTTTATAGCTGATAATACTCCATTGTGTAAATGTACCACAGTTTCTTAATCCAGTCGTCTACCTATGGGCATTTCGATTGTTTCCAAGTCTTGGCTATTGTAATGAGCATGAAGGTGCATATATTTTTTTGAATTAGTGTCTTGGGTTTTTGTGGATAAATACCTGAGAGTGGAATTGCTGGGTCATAAGGTAGTTCCATTTCCAGTTTTTTGAGATACCTCCATACTGATTTCCATAGTGGTTGCACCAGTCTGCAATCCCACCAACAGTGCACCGGGGGTCCCTTTTCCTCACAACCTCACCAGCACTTGTTTGTTAATTTACTGATGATAGCCATTCTGACTGGGTAAAGTGGTATCTCATTGTGGTTTTTATTTGCATTTCCCTAATGCTTAGTGAGGTTGAACATTTTTTCATATGCCTGTTGGCCATTTGTATGTCCTCTTTAGAGAAATGTCTCTTCATATCCTCTGCCCATTTTTTAATTGGGTTGTTTGGTTTTTTTGGTGTTGAGTTGAATGAGTGTTTTATAAATTTTGAATATTAACTCCTTATCAGACATATCATTGATAAATATCTTCTCCCATTCAGTAGGCTTCCTTTTTGTTTTATTGATGGTTTCCTTTTAAGTTTAATGTAATCCCATATGTTCGTTTTTTCTTTTACTTCCCTTGCCTGTGGGGATGTAACAGTAAAAATATTGCTCAGTGTAATGCCTGCAAATATACTCCCTATATTTATGGTTTCAGGTCTTACATTTAAATCTTTAATCTATTTTGAATTTGTTCTTGTATATGGCATAAGGAGGTCATCTAGTTTCATTTTTTTGCTTGTGTCAGTCCAATTGTCCCAGCACCACTTATTAAATAGACTATATTTATCCCAATGTAAATTCTTGCTTCCATTGTCATAAATTAATTGACCGTATATGAATGGATTTATTTCTGGGCTCTCTATTCTGTTCCATTGATCTATGTGCCTGTGTTTATGCCAGTACCACACTGTTTTGATTACTGTAGGCTTGTGGTATGTTTTGATGTCTGATAGCATGATACCCCTGACTTTGTTCTTATTTCTCAGGATTGCTGTGGCTATTCGGGGTCTTTTATGGTTCCAAATACATTTTAGGATCATATTTTCTATTTCTGTGAAAAATGCCCTTGGTAGTTTGATAAGAATTGCATTGAATCTATATATTGCTTTAGGCAGTATGGACATTTTAACTATATTAATTCTTCCTACCCATGAGCATGGTAG